TTATTTAGTTGATATCGGAATGCCAGGTCAGAAGAAATAGCATTGCAGATTCTTCTTTGGATTTTATCAAGAATATCTCTGTCTATCTCTATCTCTATCTATCTATCTATCTCTATCTCTATCTATCTCTATCTCTATCTATCTATCTCTCTATCTATCTATCTATCTCTATCTATCTATCTATCTATCTATCTCTATCTATCTATCTCTATCTATCTATCTATCTCTCTCTCTCTCTCTATATATATATATATATATATATATATATATATATATATATAGCAGGGAGCACCAGACCATAGGTGGCAGTAATGTTCAATACATGGATGAATGGTTGACTTATAAATATGTAAAATAGATTCGGGCGAGAAAAAGAATTGCCTAACACAACACAGTGATTTAGCTATTGATTCAATATAATTTTTTCACTTCATGTCAGCTCGAGAAGACACGACAAGTCACTCTCCTAGAGATTAGCATTAGATGGATGACAGAAAGGAGTTTCTCAGATGATTAATAGAAATCAGTTTTGTGTTGAAGGCGTTAAATTAACAAGGCATCCGTTGCCGCAGGTAGCAGAAGAGTTTAGGTCACTTTTGATATCCGAAGCTCAACAAAGTATTAGGACACAGGAAAATTTAAAGGAAATGTGTGCTTAATTGTTATGCAATAGTAATGTGTTCATATGGCAATCTCCTCACAAACGAAAAGATTTGAGGTAGATGTGACTCTGAAAAATGTTGAAAATGACATGGACGGAGTATGTAAGCAACGAAGAAGTTTTTGACGACATTGAATCAGTCTGGACTTTTGGGGGACACGTAATGAGAAAAGAGGGTTTGGAGAATTCGACACTGAAACGACATATAATATCAAGAGAGTCAGAGGTGGGAAACAGCGAGTAAATATACCGAACGAGCTTTTGGATGACAGAACACAGAACGGTGATAAATAAAATCCCCAAGGATTGCTTAGAGCTACAAATGATAGGAAGTTGTAAAGAGTCGTTGTTATCTACGGCCTTAATGGACACGGCGCATAAACTTGGTTTTTCCGAACAGTTAATAATGAGCTTTGATGGTTGACATCAAATAATGTTCTGCATTTTATGACATTTTCTTTACGACAACTGAGAAATTTCTTTTCGGGTGGTGGTTCTCTAAGCGTATCTTAGATGTGGCACAAGGCTGGAAGTATGGAGCACCCAGTGAGGACCGAACTTTCTACTCAGTCGTAATTGTTCTATCGAGACAAACTTGCTAACCATTACACCGCCTTGAGGTGCCTTAGTGTTTTTCCAAGCGTAGCATAGATGTGGCACAAGGCCGAAAGTATGGGGCACCCAGTGAGGACCGAACTCTCTGTTCAGTGGCAAATTATCTCGCGAGACAAGCTTGATAATCATTGCACCACGTCGGATGAGAATACAATCCGAAGAAAAGAGTAGACATGACTCCATCTATAATTCCGTTGCTAAAACTTTCGCCCTACAAAGAACGTAATCCTGTTTCTTGTTCGATAATCAACTCTGAGGAACAATAACTTAGAGAATGAAAAAAAAAAACTATCTTTATGGCGGAATATTTCAGAGACATTATTGGCATTTATGTGCTTATTCAGCCTTATAAACTGTCGAATCTCTGCAAATATATACGCAAACCTCTAAAAGTGGTGAGTTTTCTTAATAACGCTTCTAAGGCATTGAAGCGTATAAGAGAAAGTTCGAATGGTCAAAGGGTCAAGCCAGAGGGCATTTGTTGTTTGGATTAAACTGGAAAAAAGCGTCTGAACAAGTCGAGAAGATTAGAATTTAGTTGTCTTAAAATTTATCTTCCCGGTAGATACGAAGAGACTTGCTCTCATTTTAGAGATCGAGTGACCACAAGTCTCTTCAAACCTCCAGCTCATTTATTCACTGTTTCTTAAATTGACGGTGGAGCTTCTGCTGTTATTCCTTTTGTTACTGATGACCATAGCAAATAGAAACAAAGCTATGGTCATCAGTAAAAGGATGAGAGCGGAAATATAAATATCTGGGAAGTGTTCTGGCCAAAGCTAAGCAGAGTATTACGTGACAGGAGGATTTGGTTAGTAACAAAGAAAAGAGTACTGAACTGATACGTGATCTTTCCTCCTTTACCACTGCGTATGTTGGATGGTCTCCTCAAAGATGAAGAGGAGACTCTAGGCAACGGAGGTATGATTCTACAAAAGGATGCTAAGTATATCATGGACATAGCGTGTTGTCAACGATGAGGTTTTGGAGAGGTTGAAAACAAAAAAGAAGCTTATACTTAACATCAGGAAGAGGCAGCTGAAATTTCTGGGACACGTAATGAGAAAGGAGGGCTTGGAGAATCTGATTCTCAAATGGACGAATAGAAGGAAAGAGAGACGAGGGAAAGCAACGCGTGACATACCTAGTGGTCTTAAACATGTGGATAACAAAACGGTTTGGAAGAGGTAGCAAAGGGGCAAAACCTATTGAGAACTACAAGAGATAGGAGGAAGTGGACAGCCATGATCGACTACGTCTGGAATGGAGACGGCACATAAAAGAAGAATAACGTCGTGCACTTGTTACAGACTATTTAAAAAAAATAAATAAAGCAAACTGCTTTATTTTGGCTTGTTCTTTTTTCAAAGCATTTTTCTAGCTAAACTTTTATCTAAATGACTAAATGAATCTAGTGAATGCTGTGGAACCTGTTTCCAAAAATATTTTACGGAACATATATATATATATGTTTATCCGGCATTATTATAGATAGAATTAAGTAAATTCTTCGTTTATAATAAACACTATTAATATATTTATTGGCCTAAATGTCCGAGAAATTTCCGTAGAATGTGTCCTCCGACAGGAATTGAACCTGTGTCATACAAAAAAAGAAAAAAAAAACGAAAATTAAAATAACTGTCGGACTTAGTTCATTTTATTTATATATATATATATATATATATATATATATATATATATATATATATATATATATATATATATATATATATAAATATATATAATAAACATGGAAGAAACAAAGGGTATATTTATTAGAAACTATGCAGTTACTTATAACAGATGGCTTGCAGTTCGAACAGTATCTTTACCATAGCATTTTGTTATTAACTAGAATTAAACAGCCATTTTAACAATAAATTTCTGGACTGTTGAATAATTGTTTTGTCTTAATTGTTATTATAAGTAACTGTATAGGGACATTATTGCCATCCTCTGTAGTTAGAACGTTCGCATTCTGACCATGAGACTCGGGTTCGAAACTCACCATGGTCGATTTGTCAAGAAGGAAACTTCCAGATGTTATCGAACTGAAGGGGTCGATCCCAGCATCTCGCACATTTGGAAAGTGCATAAAAACTATAAGACGGTTTGACCCAAGCCCCGTGATTGAAAGTGAGCAGACGGCACCCTTGGGGGCCGTCGATAGCTGTGCTAGTATGAAGTCACAAGTCATTGTGGCCAAGTTCTCGAGCGTGCTGGCCTTGTTCAAAAAGATAGCACGCTCGTTTCCAAAAGCTGTAACTAAAGTCTGCTCAGCATATTTGCAGTATAAACCACAGGTGGGTGCTGTGGGTGTTGAATAAACACAAGTGTGTGTATGGTTGACAAGAAATTTCATCTACTGTTGCTAAAAGTAGGCGAACGAATCTACGTCTAAGTTCAAGGAATTCTTGCGAATCCTTTTCCCCATTTTTGTGATGTTATCGAACACTCGTTGTCACTTTCTTAATGCTTGTTTTAATAGAGACTTTGTAATCGCATATACAACTATAGCAACGCCGTTAAACAATACTGTTGTCAGACGCCTTCCAATATCACTCGCACTAATAGTACTTGCTCGATAATATTCGCTCGAAAGTTAACTACCGTATCTGAACAGACACCTAGTATAGTGAATAGGTAGATAATAGCGATCCGTATAGTAATAGAGGATAGAATAGAAATAGCGATCAATTAGAGATCACGTTACCTCCCATATACGCGTTTCCTCTATGGTGACGTGGTTTACGTAATTTAATGATGGGATCGCTTGTGTTTGATCATTGGCGATCTATGTTCAAACCCAAGTGCCGGCAGCGACACTATTCCTATATATAAGAGCAATAGATGGGTGACCGCTTGGGAATACGAAGTGATGTAATCTTGTATGTGCGGGTTTTCTAATAGATAATGGCTCTTAATGAGAATTCGGAGAACCTTGACGTGTAGAAGTTCAGATTGTAATATTCGGTGATGCGTTTTTGCAGGATTCTGTTCTGTAAAGTAGCGACTCTTGGGAAGAAGCTGTCCGAATCGGAATTCTTTGCCAATCGAATGCGGTGGGGGATGAGGATAGTGTATGGAACTTGAGAGTGTATATAAAGTTATATTGACATGAGCTTAAAAAGAGAACAAATACTACCCTTTGATCCCGGTTCGAAGGCCGAGAAACCTTGAAAGAGCGATGCAAATCATTTAATGTTGTGTCATGCAAACGGAAAGCTCCAATGCAGGCAACAAACTGCAAAAATGATAAGTCTGAAATTTACAATTTTTGCGTAACCTCCGATCATGCCTGGGTTACCAGACATTTGGTTGTACTCGAATTCAAAAGAGGCGATGAAAAGTCCATATTTTGCAATGGATTTCGAAGATGATTTAGTTGTATGCAATTGGATCGGAAGTAAAATAAAATCTTGACTCGTGGACAAAAGATGAATAAAAAATATATAGCACAAAATGATGACTGTTGTCAAAAAAAAAAACTTGTCAATTTGAAAAGAAGAAAATATCAGATTCATTATTATATCAGATCTAAAACTTGTTTTCTAGGCCTTGCGACGTTATTCATTAATCAGAACTTGTAATTTCCAAAAGAAATGAATCTAATTCATTTTGCTACCAGTTTCATTATTCAGTCAGTTTTAAAACTTGATTTATGGGATGGGAATCTTTACTTAGCAATCATTTCCTCTATATAACTTTCGCTTACCATTTGATGTTCTACTTTTCTCTTCATCTGTTTCTTCCCCTTTTCTCTTGCTTTCTTCCATCTACTCTTCTCTTTCTTCCTTGCTCCCCTCTACTCTTCTCTTTCTTCCTTGCTCCCCTCTACTCTTTTTCTTTCTTCCTTGCTCCCCTCTACTCTTCTCTTTCTTCCTTGCTCCCCTCTACTCTTCTCTTTCTTCCTTGCTCCCCTCTACTCTTCTCTTTCTTCCTTGCTCCCCTCTACTCTTCTCTTTCTTCCTTGCTCCCCCTCTACTCTTTTCTTCCATCCTTGCCCCCCTCTACTCTTTTTCTTCCTTCCTTGCTCCCCTCTACTCTTTTTCTTCCTTCCTCGCTCCCCTCTACTCTTTTTCTTCCTTCCTCGCTCCCCTCTACTCTTTTTCTTCCTTCCTCGCTCCCCTCTACTCTTTTTTCTTCCTTCCTCGCTCCCCTCCTCGCTCTCTTTTTTTTCCTTCCTCGCTCCCCCTCTACTCTTTTTTCTTCCTTCCTCGCCCCCTACTCTTTTTCTTCCTTCCTCGCTCCCCTCTACTCTTTTTCTTCCTTCCTTGCTTCCTTCTACTCTTTTTCTTCCTTCCTTCCTCCCTTCTACTCTTTCTTTCTTCCTTGCTCCTCCTCTACGCTTCTTTCTTCCTTTCCCCCTCCCTTCTACGCTTCTCTCTTCCTTTCCCCCTCCCCTCTCTTCCTTTCCCCCTCCCCTCTACGCCTCTCTCTCTTCCTTGCCCCCTCCCCTCTACGCTTCACCTTCTTTCTTCGCGTATTCACTTTTCTTCTTTTTTTCTCTCATCATATTGTATATCTTTCCTATCATTATTGGTCCTTCACAATCATCAATAACAGACTTTCTCCTTACAGTTTCATCCGCAAAACGATACGGAGATAAAATGCTATGCATCAATCATGATTCTGAAAATTGTTGATTGGTTCAGTCAATTTTAGACCAGAACCCGTTTCTTAATCAAAAAAATCTACTCTTCCAACTTTATTAATTACTCGTTCACATGGAAATTTGATCTTCTCTAATTAATTTATTTTCTCTCTCTCTCACACTAAATCATTAAAATAACTGTCCGTCTTTTCTCCTCTATTCCGCAGGTGGAGGTCGCATTTGGATGAATGTAACCGGAGTGATTCACATTGACGGTGAAGTGCGAGCTAATGGTTATGATGCTACTCCAATCAGCGGCGGAGGAGGGGGTAGTGGCGGTAGCATCTGGATGTACTGCAACATCATTCGTGGTTACGGTCGAATCACTTCAAAGGGAGGCCGGGGTTCGATCCACAGTAAGAATCCTGGAGGAGGAGGCGGTGGTGGACGAATCGCTTTTTACTTTAAGGTCAATGAAACAATGAGTTCTTTTAGATATAAAGCCCACGGTGGACAAGCTGGTGATGGCGGGAAACGATCCGAAAATGGTGGTGCCGGCACTGTTTTTATTTACCATATGTTGGAGCAGCATCGAACTTTGATTATCGATAATGAAGGCCTTGCTCCATTCGATCCAGAACATAAATTATTGGATTATTCAAAAGTAAAAACTGATGGGTGTAGAACGTGGATTATGCCTCTTTCAGGGAATCACGTTTTTGCTAATTCTTCATACATTTACCATTTTGAAGAGCTTCAGATCTATGGTGAAGCCCATCTCGCAATGTGGCCCCCAGAATCAGACATCAATACACTGATTGATGTATTCTTTTTATATATGATTGGGGATAGATCAGGTACTGTTCATTTAGGAAGAAATCATACGCTTGATCTGACAAGAGAGGAAATTGATCTTCCCTTTAATGTGCGAGTTTATGAAGGAGGTTTCTTAGCATTGGCTCCGTTTACTACGATTCACAATGTCACTGTATGGTTGCACAGCACTTTAGCAAATATACAAAACCTCACGCTACACCATAACGGTTTGTTGTCCATGGAGGAGGGAGGACACACTTTTCTGCAAAGGAGAAATCACTATAATTTTCAAGTCATTCGAGTGCAGGACAATGCGACGATCCAGGCCCTGAGAATGAATCCTTATTTAGACGGTGTTCACATCCATGTACAAACTGCTTTCCTCGAAGGAGGCGGAACAATAAAAGGAACAGATATAAGCATGGATGCTGTCAACCTAACTATTGACGATGGAGCATCGCTTCATGCTAACGGACTCGGATATAGTTCGGTCGATCCCAAAGATCTAGATAAAAGGATCAATGTTGGTCAAGGGTTCACCAATAAAAAAGGCTCATCCGGAGGAGGCCATGGTGGTACGAGTGGGCGTGGTGGTGGGATAAGACTCACTGGTCAGCCATATGGTCATTTATTTGAGCCTTCTCTGTACGGAAGTTCTGGCGGTGGAGGTGTGTCTGTTGGGGGATCAGGTGGCGGAAAATTGTGGATAAATGTCACTGGTCAGTTGTTGCTAGACGGTCAGATTCAAGCAGATGGTCAAGATGCTGTGGTCAGTTATGGAGGAGGTGGTTCTGGAGGAAGTATTTGGATTGACTGTTATCTGTTTCGCGGACTGGGAAACATAACTGCTAACGGTGGGAACCGATTTCCAAATGGAATCGGAGGCGGTGGGAGCGGAGGACGAATAGCTCTGTATTTCTCCAAGAATCAAACCTACCTAGGCGGTTACAAATGCCATGGCGGAGTGGCTGAGGGTCTAGCAGAATCGGGAGGACCAGGAACTGTTTTTTTATATCACAAAAAAGAAAACCATTCCACTTTATATGTAAACAATGATAATCTACAGAGCCAATATGTCCAGATGATCGCCGATTATTCAGATCTCAAGGCAGATAGTTTCAAAGCATGGATATTGCCTAATATTGTCGACCACTGGTTGGTAGGTGATAATTTCAAATTGAGCTTTGATGAATTCCAAATTTACGGCAATGCTCATCTCGCCGTGTTGCCAAAACCAATAAATAATGGCTCCGATTTGTTCTTCAGGCATATGATTGGAGATCGAAGCGGTTACGTCCATATTGGGCCTTATCAAATCATGGACTTGCATCGCAAATTTATTGATCTACCGTTCAATTGTTACATCTATCAACTCGGATACCTGGGGATGGCTCCTGATACGGTCGTAGACAATGTATTTATTCATACCGAAGGCACATTCGATCACGTCATCAACATGACCCTTGTTAATAATGGGCAACTGAGGCTATTCCAAAGCGGTTCCACTAATCGCCGATCTCGGCTCGACTATCAAATACCCGGTACCACTATTATGAAAGCTGGGTCGCTCATTAATGCTTCGTCTCCGTTCGCACATCCGGATCAATACGAATTGGCATTTGGTCGACTTTACTTAGAAGGCGGTTCCTTAATGAACGGCAAGAATATGAAAATTTCTGCAGATCACCTGACGGTAGACGATGGAGGTTGGATTAATGTCAATGATGGTGGCTACTTGGCAGGAACCGGAACAGGTTAGACGCTTAATTTATTTAATAAAGTAAAAATAAGGTTGATGAGCAGTAAAAAAAAAAAATATATAAATGTTTTATTTTCGGTAGATTTTAAATGATTTTGTTATTAAATCATAAAGTGACAGTTGAAATTTTGTGGGAAATTTAATGAGGAAAGAAGGCTTGGAAAATCTAACAGTTACAACGACCACAAGCAGAACAGGAAAAAAAAACGAGGCCTACATAAAGGGCTTGTGTAAATAGCCGACAGAGAAAAGAGAAATGATAAAAAGACGCACTAAGAGCAACAACTGATAGGAAACTGTGGAGAGTCATGGTCGCCCACATCCCGAAAACACGGCACATAGAAACAGTAGTAGTATTACTAGTACACGTTGCCCAGCTATAAATTCTCACTATCTACTAAGAAAATAATATTCTGTATATAATTCATGTAACTACATCACTAAAGTGAGTTGAAACCATAGTTTATGTGCCGTTTTTATCCATGATTTGGGTAATCATGGCTCTCCACAAATTCCTGTGCCCTTTTGTAATGTCATCTTAGTAACGTCTGCTTAGAACACGAAAGGAATATTTTTATATGAAAAATAATTATACACGTCGTGAGTTCGTCAGATTTAAGGTTCGTCGAATCGTTGGTATTTGTTTTCTGATCGTTTTTCAAACATTTGATATTCTTGCAAGGATGTCTGCGATTCAATCTCTCTCTCCTAGTAAGTAAGGCGTTTATATAACTTCCTGTTATATTGTTGTCAGTATAACCTTTGTTCAGCAACATTCATTTACTTGATTATATTAGTTCATTTACCGGCATCATTTGAAGCCCGATGTTGTATTTGGTAGCTTTGAGGATATTTTTTAAGTTAATATTCGGAGGTCTTAAGTTTTTTTTTCTGCTGTGACACTGAAGCAAGTTTTATTTCCTGTATCTATTAGGTGGTCACAAATACATTATAGGGAACAGAGAACAATTCTTAAAGTTACTGATGTTTATTAAATTCAATTCAGACTCCTACTACTGCTATGGAGACAACGCTTTTTTCCATGCCTCTTAATTACTACACCTCAAGTCATTCACACAAACTGATTAGATAAGATACTCCCTATTCCCTTCTATTTTTGCTTTCTATAATAATTCATGTGAGTATTAAATATTCCAAGCCTTCTTTCCTTATAAACTTCAAGAAATTTCAACAATATTGTTTTGATTTTTACGTTCTCATTTTCTTAAATTTTGTGTTCACGTGTGCTGCCAATAATTTATGTTCTTAAATAGTTCCGTTTTTCTTAGGGCTGTCTTAAATGGCGACACATTTGTTCAGGAATATCTAAACTGTCATTTGTATATACAACCGCTTTTTCCGTTCAGTGTCTTTGAGCGAATGTACGCCTTAGAGAGGTTCCTCCTACTTCGAACATCAGAGATTGGTGCTACACATTCACAAAGAACTGTTCCAAATAACAGAAACTGTATTATTTGAGGATTTTCAGCAATAACTAAAATAGACATCACATGTGATTCAAAGAGAAAATACATACGTTGTTGATGTTTCACGCTACATCAAGCAAAAGGTTAGAAAGGAAACCCCTGTCAATACATCAGATAACAATAGACTTGAGAAACATGTTTTCCTGAAGAAAATAATGGAAATATTTTCATAAATTTCATTGACAGTAGCACTGGCTGCTTAGTCAATGAATGCCGAGTGTTTCCTTATAAGGAAACTGTTAATATTAGCATTACCATTCTCAGCATTAGTCTGTTGAACACTGTGTCTCTTAGTCTCTTCATATGTCAGGGCGGAAAAAGTGAAATGTAACAGTAATTCAGTACTTTACCAGATATCTATTAGTTCCTATAAAAATACAATATCTTATCTAGTTACTACCATGTCATCTAGTTATTGTAGGTTAGAAAATGTGTCCCACCCGCCGATAAAAGTGATATTTTGCTGTTCTCGTCTCGATTATTACGAAAAGTTTACGTTGGTTTCCTTTTACTTTTCATAGCCCCTGGTATTTATCATCGGTTCGGATCGAGTGGGGCGTCTCACGGTGGTTTGGGTGGACGTGGAGAATGTCAAAGAATCGTTACATGCCGTCTGCGTAAATCGCGACCCTACGGAGATTTATACAGACCACATCAGTACGGAAGCGGTGGGTCTCATAACGCCGGAGGAATTGGTAAGTGATCATTTATTGTATTAGTTTTTTTTTAACTTTTATTCCCAAAAAGAGTGAGGGACAAGGCAGTAACTTAATTTCAGACGGAATAAAAGAATTGTAAATTATCATGAATGTAACGTCGACAAAGAAAATATTTAACGCGGACTCTGTGCTTTTATGCCGTTTTTTTGCTCAAGAAAGACGTTAAATTATTTTGTGCTGCAGAATATTGAAGCCAGCAAGAGAACAATTCAATTTTAAGCTTAATTCTCTTTCTTTTTCTTTCTATGCATCTGTCTTTGTCTCTGTCTGTCTCTGTCTTTGTCTGTCTGTCTCTGTCTTTTTCTGTCTCTGTCTGTCTCTCTCTGTCTCCGTCTGTCTCTCTCTCTCTCTCTGTCTCCGTCTGTCTCTCCGTCTGTCTCTCTCT